CACACACACACACACACACACACACACACACACACGTTTTAAAATAGTTAATAAGTCTGCAGCCTAGACAAAGGACTGCTTTTGTGTTTGACCTACATTTCCGGTATGAAATGTGTTATCCTAGAAACACCCTAAAATAGTCAGTCCAGGTTTTACAATTTATTTGAATGTATTAGAGACTGCTTCTGGTTTTGCTTCTTTTCAGCACTATAATTAGGTGCTTTAACAGAGACAGAACATCTGAAAAGGGGGATGGGGAAGGGATGTAGTGGTGAAAGAGCATCTAAATTAACTTTTAGTAACTTATTGATGAACAGTATGTTTTGAAACATAGCCAGTCAGCACCCATTTATTTGCATCATCACAACAAATAAGCACAGCACTTCAGCATTAGCTTACTCACTTTTAGCAAAGAGTGATAGACATGCTCAATAGCTTATTAAAAAGCAACACAACTGGAAAGTACCATCACATCTAAGCTAATTAGCTACAGTTGTTTTTTAATGTGCTGCATTTTTCTATGCAGGATTTATTTAATACTTCCTGTACCTTCTTTCTGATGTTCTTTTCATTAGCTATTTAACTCTTTGCCAAATACAGGTATTAAACAATTTAATATCAATATAACTATCATGGCTTTCCAACATTAACATTTGTCCATTCTGTGGTGATAGGTAATTAATCATCAAACCCAAGGGCCTTTCCGTATAGGATCCCAAAGGGGTCAGTTTTGTCACCATTGTTGTTAAATGTGTATCGTGAAGCTACTTGGAGAATTGATAAAGAGGCAAAATATGAGATAACACCAGCATGCCACTGATATGCAGATTTATGTCTATTGGTACGAGGTGTGGGTGGGGGAGGTAGTAATCATAGTATTTCCACCTTGAAATCAGAGTATGACAGCTGGTTAAAGCTCAAGCCTATATTTCTATGTTAATTTGGGTAACATTTGGAGAACTTTGTAAATACTTTCCTGGTTGTGTATTTATCGATGAAGATGTCTGTTGCAAGATTATTCAAATTGACAATTTAGCAGTTATTTTTAATTAAGATGACCACAAAGGCTTCTTTCCATCCTTGAAATTTCAGCCTACATTTTAAGAAGTGAATATTATCAGTCAAAGATATTTAAAAATCCAATTATCTAGTATCTTGGGTAGGATTATTGGAACAATCCCTAAAAGCAATTCACAGATTATTGCCATTAAAGGATCATGACAGTTTGTTGGCCTTGACCAATAATACCTAGTGATGGTCCACAATCTGACAGTTTTACTTAGTACTTACTTGGTGAGTATCTGAGTTGGGTACTAGTATATGGATAAATTAATAATGTGGAACACCTACAATGCCCTGATATATAAACCCATGAATATGATGGGGCAGGTACTTTTTGTTAAGTATCCATTAATGGAATGTACATGTTTTATAGCATACCTTTGATAAAAACTAAAAAGTTTTATTTCCAGTAACGCTGATGTGTATGAATATCTGTGTGTGTGATGTTTTCCTTATGTGTGAGAGGAGCAATGTAGGTTTTATACTTGCTTTTCTCCCCCTTAGCTCAATTAGGGCTGTCATGTATTTTTATTTATCCTGTGGGACACAATATTTGTGTGATTACATACCAGTGCATTATGATACTGATGTTAACATCCTGGTTCATTGTAATTATGTACTGAAGCAAAAGCATGCCAGGAAAACAGAGCTTCACAGCATGGCATAGTCTTACAATATAAAGCTGTGTCAAGGGGCCTATGGTAAAATCAGGGCTCTCTAGTTAGGTGTGATGGCTAAAGGACACATTGATTTAAGTCAGTGTGTTCCAGTGAATTGACAATCCTGTGTACACTCCTTTTTCTTGTAACTGCCATTTTATATTGTGTGGTAATTCTGAGAACCTTGGTTTCAGGTGCTGAAAAATCTTAATAATTATTTTAAAATATTAATAATTGATTTTCCCTGTCTCTTGTTCTTTTTTTTTTAAATCAGTTACTTTTCAAAGAGGGGATGGAGGACTAATGAGCAATGGAAGGTACGGTTGTTGGTAAAAAGATCTGTTTTCATCCTATTTTGTTTTTTGATAAGGAACTTGAAATTTCTGTAGGTAAAGGATAAACGATCGTTTATAAGATTGACAATTCTAGAAGGAATTAAATGGCTTAGTACAAGGTTTAATGATCTATCTGTTGTGCACTATAGAGGAATCAAGTCCAGATGTTTCATCTCTCCCAGATGCCCAGGAAGAAATTAGTAGTAAATATCACAAGGAATGTGTTCATTTGTTACCAGGATGTTTATTGCATTAATTAGACATTAGCAAATGAAGTTGCTGTTGTTTAAGACTCCTTATTGGCTCTCACTAAATTGCTGTGAGTGAACAATTACACATAATCGATCACAAAATAAATGATTCATGGATGATGAATAGGTTGTAGATTGATAGGACTGGATTCCACAACTTTGGCTACTCAATCGAAATTGATAAAAGCTGATAGCAGACTCATATATCCTCATCTATTTTCTCTTTGCCAATATGGAGATTGTAATTAGGCTCTGGTAATAACTTCCAATCTCCCATTTAATCAATATTTTAGCAAAAAGAGATTAGGCCTAATGAGAGCTAGTAGATGTGGCAAGGAAACTGCTGGATCTTCTTATTGTTGTTTCCATAGAAACCCATGTTTCTCTTAGGGATTGTACCAGAAGGGGCCTATCAGGAAGAAGTACAATGATTATAAATGTTGCTCCTTCTTCTTAAGTGTGCTAATAATCTGGAAAAGCTTCATAACTTTTTTTTACTTTATGCTATTTGTTTTCCTTGCTAAATTTGAAAATAAACTGTCCACATTGCTCCAGCTAAATTTCAGAATACAGCCATATTTATCCTTTATTTGGGGAGCATGCAGTGTCTTACAGCCAAAATTTGCTTCCTTTTTTTAGGATTTTCAGCTTTCAGGATTGCTCTCCATGTCTAAAATCACAAAAGGGTAAAAGCATGTTATAGCTGAAGATAAAAATACTATCATGAACTTTTCATTAATCCCACTCAAGCCCATTTCCCATTAAGCCATACGAGAGTCCTCAAAGAAAAAGAGTTGCCACCCTGTAAATGACAGACATACATTTGGGATGCAAGGAGTGAAGAAATAGTAACCCAAAGTCCTGGAAATGGCTGATATAGAGCAGTCAGTTTGAGTGATTGTTCCCTTGAGGTGGCAATTTATCATTCAACCCTAGTTTAGGATCCTTTGATGGTTCTGCCTACTCCCTGTTTCAGACAGAAAACAGTATTCATTTGGATTCTGGCAGAATCACAACTGATGCCTAGTCCCATTTTCACTAACAAAGTTGATTTGTATATAGCCTTAATTAACTGCTTAAGGTCTGTAAATCATGAAAGCCTGTACAATTTTAATTTGAAATAAATTAAAGTCTTTCTCAACTGTTTGTTGCGCACAGTGGCAGGAGAAAAGTGATATGGTCTTTCAATCACTATCATATCCAGAGTTGTCTCTCAAACATAATTTTATTTATTTTTTTCTTTTGTTGTATCCTGCTTCAGTCGGCCAGGTCTGTTGAATGCAAGCGATCCCAGCTATCCGTGGCTTGCAGACTCTTGGCCTGCCACCAGTCTTCCAGTAAATAACAGCACCAGTGGACCTAATGATCTTGGGAATTTTGGTCGTGGAGGTGGGTTTTACTTTATAAGGTCACAGTGTCATGAGGAATAGGTTTTACTGTATTATGCTCTCTCTCAATTCTTTTTTCTTCTATTTAGGTTTTCCTTTCTATGTGGGTGTAGTGCATTTTTCCCCCCCTCAGCAAAGTGTCTTAGCAATTTAGCACTGCTGTAAAATTACTGAATTGCTGTCTAGTACAATACAGTTAAGTATGGCGATCTGTTAATTAGTAGTAGTCTTCAGTTTATCAGCATGTCAGCTCAATATTTCCTAGTTCTCATGTCTGTCCTATTCATATTGTTGGATCATTCATAGATAAAC